TTGGTACCCCAGTCTGATCCATTCAATATTTATAACTGCCGATTCCGAGTCCTGATCCAATCTTTTAAATAAATATTTAAATATACATATGGTAGGCGTTGTATGAAGTGCACTCTTTATCTGAGAAAGCCTCGCAATTTCACGGTATTCTTATGACATTTCTGCAAATGGCTAATCAGATTCATTGTATTATTGCTGTGTTGCTATCTCCTCTTGAAACGACGGCTTTGCCGTCACTGCAAATCTGAAGCACTGTATAATTGAGCAAGTGGGGTCAGCCAGTTCCCGAGAATAAGGATCTTGCTCAGGGGCCAACAGTGAAGCTTGGGGTTTGAACCAGTGACCTTCCAGTGATGTGCCTGGCTACACACTGGCACCTGCTTATATTATTCATTTGTTGAATCCTGGTTCTGTGTGTTTCTATGGCCTGTCTTCATTTTGTCCCTCACACGCCTGTGCTTTTCCACTGTTCCTAAGTTCTGTGCCCATGCTGGACTTGACCAGCTGGCAGGATGGCGGTCGGGCATTTCCTGGTACAAGCCGGCAAATTCCGACGCCGATCAAGCTGGCGTGCGATAGGCTTCAATCGTCAGCGTTGTGCCCAAGGGCTCGCGGCCTCCAAATGGCCGGTTTAAATGTTAATGTCGCAATGCTGTAATTTCCGTGTAATCTCTGGGCGTGAGCCGCTTTTCCTGCTCGGGGAGACGGCCCCCAGTCTGTGGAAGGGAAGGCCAATCTGTGCGGGGTGGGGGCTGTAACTTTGATGGGTCCAGGGAGAGGCGGCCCCACGCGGGCTGCGCTGTTGGCGGCCCAATGGAGGGCCATTTATGATTTAGCGCGGCAGGACTGTCAGGGGGCCTCAGCGGAAGGCGGGCCGATGCTGCCGATTTCACCTAATTTCATCATGGTCTGCAAATGAGGGCTCTGCACGCCGATTGGGTCCTGTGACTTACTTTGGGGGGGGTCACATGTAGCACTGCTGGGTTTGGGGCCCGGTCGTGAACTTTCGCCCATTTCACCCGAATCCAGGTCTCCGAACTCAAAGAAGGACCCACTGACCGTCCTCTGCCAGTGCCGACCCGGTTTCCTTCTCTGTGTGCTGCGTAACTCCCTTAATATTGGGGGGGGGGGGGGTATTTCTGAAAGCTGACTGTAACACACCTGGTTACGCCCTGTGACCTGCACAGGTGCTGATTGCTCTTCCTGTTACCTGCCCGGGACCATCATTCGCTTTTCTGGACCCTGTTGCATTCTGCTGCTTTTCGGATAAACCCCCTCGCCGCTTTAAAAAATGTGGCCACAACCTCAGCAGGAGGATGCCATATGTTTCCCCCCCCGCTTGCGGGACCCACGGAGGTCCTGCCCCCGATTGGCCGTTCGCACCGTCGACCCCAGATTTTTAGCCCATTCAAATAAATCTGCTTCTTACTTCCTCTTACATCAGTTTGATGGGCGCGTTATCTCCAAGGTTTACTACAATTTTAATGCCGGCGCGGGTCGATTTTCCACTCGGACCGTAACTTTCATAGCCTTGTGTAGCTTTTTCCCCAGCATTTATATCTTACTGATTTAATTTTAATAATCTTTTATTAAGTACTGGCTAAATGGCAGTGCAGAAAAAGAGAAACACGCCGACATATCTTTGGTCCGTTTTGATATGTTTGCGTGTTGCGTTTTCATGTCTCTGTCATGGTAGGATTTTACCACAAGCCATTGAGGGGCCGGTCCGATCGCCCTCTCCCCTGGACACAAAGGCCCGTGTGGCGGCCGCACTTGCTGCCGTCCGGGTCCCGCTAATGAGGCTGCGCTCACCAGGGCTATAGAGCTGTCGTCCCGGTCGGCCCTTTGCACACTGTTAATGATGCTACTAATATGTTCTTAAGAAAAATGTGATTCATGGCCTTCATTAGTGGCCGTGTGCGGCTGTCTGCCGTTATTTTAATGACCGCCTGGAGAGACGGGGGCCTGGCTGACCCTCGATCACAGGCCTGGCCCGGCGAGCCCGGCGCTGAGCTATTGTGGTAGGTGAGTCGGCCATGGGGGGGGGGGGGGGGGAGGTATGGCGAAGCTGGCTGCCTTATCCTAATCCTGCTCCCAGGAGTTGGTTAAGCACGAGGAGGTGAGGCCCCAGGGATGGAGGGAGGGGCACGGTAGGGGGGCTTATTTAGCAGTGTTCCCCTTCGCCTCCCTTCACCCCCGGCCTCATTAATGGGTGCCCTTCGCCACGGTGTTGGGTCCGAACACAGCCGCCACACACCCCAGTGGGTAAATAAATCACATGCGGTTTGGTTCTTGGAGCTGAAGGGTGTTTGTGTGTGTACTATTCCAGGCCAGTGTTCGTGCCATGCCAGGTCGCCCGTCTGGTTTGGGCCACAGTTCTGGCCATTGTCTCCGATTGATCTGCAGCACGTTTAAAAATGCAGGGCCTCCGTGGTGGCCGCTGGCCCGGCCTTATATTCCCAACCCCCCCGTCACTGTCCGAGCCCGCGTAATAACCGCCAGATGTTCCCCATCCACCGGCGTGCTGTTGGGCTGCTGCCAATGCCCGCGGCTCCCCGCATCGGGGGCGGATTAGGAGTAATCCCCCGCAATTCCAGCATCGGCCTTTGTCCCCGTGCACCGCGGTGGGACCTGCGCCTGGCCGGGCCGCTCGTTCACCAGAGATCAAAGACACGAGGCTGAAGGTTCTGTGGTCGCCGTGGTGATGGAAAGAAATAACAAGATGGCCCCAAGTCTGCGATCCCCAGTCCCAGATGGTTGCTGGCGTATTCTCAACTCCATCATGGAGTCATGGCCGGGGACGGCATGCCCCAGACCCCAGAGCATGCACCTTACACCCGGTGCCCCCCCCGTACACCCGGTGCCCCCCCGTACTACCAGCACTAAGTTACACATCTCTCAGTTACATCTCACATCTACTATAGGACTCCTATAGTAGGCTCTTCTGGGTGCAGGTTTAGAGAGCTTACACTTGGTAAGTAACACTCAAAAAATTACACTCAGTAAATAACACTCGTTTAGTTAGAGTCCAGTCTGCCAGGTTTGTGACACTGATCCTGGTAGTTTGTTTAAGCTTTAAAGTAGCTGCTTTTTGATGTTTCACTAGAATGAATCAGACATATGAGTTTCTGTTTTAACTTGCAGGAAATTAAATTGATGTGAGCCCTCTGTATCTGTGCCTGCTGGCAGGCCTCTCTTCTTGGTCCATCACACTCGCATATGCACACCTCTCACGTGGTGCTTGCTCCACGGAGCATCAGTTTTCCCGGCAGTGGTATCGGGCGACTCATGCAGGAGGGGCGGCTACAGGAACGCAGCCCCCGAGCTCTCCGCTTTAAACAACCATTCCCATAAACCTTTGTGCCTCGTGCCTACAGGTAAATCAATAAAGGCCCATCTCCCATGTGCTAATGAATTGGGATTTTTAATGAATCCCCCATTTGCATTTAAAAGTAACCAGGGAAATTAGGAGGTTATGTCTCTATTTTTTATTTATTATGTACATATGTGAGGTGGGAGGTGGGGGGGATAATTTGTGGGAAATGTAAATGTAAAACTTTAGGTAAATAAAAAGAAAAAGGAGGGTAGCTTTGATGTATTCATAGGGGTCAGGACAACAGTACCACTGCTCAGGTTTTAATGATAAGTGAATCTGTCTGCTTGGTGATGCCGGTGTGATTCCGATGTCTTTGTTTGAAGATTCACGCTGGGATCGTTGTCTGATTCCACCGGCCGGCGGTCCATAGACGTCACGTGGCATGATGGAGCGGAGCGCGCTTGTGGGGTCGACGCCAAGAGCCGAGCGGGGGGATCCCGCAGGATTCCCTTTCCCAGCCGGGCAAGACCCGTGAGTGCAGCACTCCGCCATGTCACGTTAATTAAGCAATTACTTTAATTAACACATGAATTAATTCCGTCGCATAGCCAGATACCCAAAGCACCTTAAATAACTCCCAGTCTCATGATTTATGGCTCCAGTTCCGATATGGTTCAGTGACCTTCTCAAGGGGACAGTGCCCGGGACACTTTGGGGACACAGATGGCTGCTAATTTGGCACCGGTACCCCGCCCCGGTGTCCACACCAGCAGTGCTGTGCCTCTCAGCCTGTCACTGAACCAGTCACAGTGTCGGATGCACAATAAGAAGCCTTTAACCATGTCCGCTATTGGAACTTCAAGAGTCCTACCTTATTGCGGTTAGTGTTTTTTCTCCAGGAAATTAAAGGCCCACAAAATGGGAAAGTTCAACCTGATTTCCAGTATTAGATGTGGAGAGAACAGTTAGTATGTCTCCTGGGAACGTATTTGTGTCTTATTCTGTGTTTTCTGTTTATTTCACATAATGTGATATTTAGGTATCCTAGCCTTTTGCTGCCTCTGCGACACGTTTCCTGAGTAAGTCACTCTGCTCCGGGCTTTCCGTCACGCTTCCGAGTGGGGAGTCAAAGGCTTCAGTTCAAACGCACCACTCACACCTTCCAGGAGTGTCTACAAATCCCCTCCCCTCCCCCCTCAGTCAGCCGGTGCTCCAGGGAGACGGTTTCCAAAATTATTTCACCAAAATGTTATTACGTCATTCTCTCGAATGGCAGGTGTTCAATTCCAAACAGTCGCTTCAGAAACAAATATGGTTAAACGTTAATGGAGCAATTTTAAAAGGCTTAATGTACGCCGGACGATGATTTATTTATTTACAGAATTTATACAGTGACCGTCATTGACCGGCTTGACGGGTTTAATTAAAATCCCACGTCTTGTTTTCTCACGTGAGTCGTGGCTGCAGCAGAGAGGCGGAGTAGCCTGCAGCTACGCTAAACCACACATCAGGGAAAATCACTTGTTTACTCTGTCCGAACTATGCAGCGTCGCCTCGGGGACACAGCTGGCTTGACGTTCGTCCTCCACCTTTGGCTAAGCGATGAATGGATAACATCGCCTCTCTCTGCTGTCACCTCTCAAATTATTTATCTGCCCCCCCCCTTGAAAGCTGTGCGGGACACGCAAACTGCATTATCTGTTTTTATTACCAAGGAGCTTATCTGTCTGTACTTACTTGGGGAGTGGGAGCTAGCTTTAAAGCCAGGAATGAATTCCTTGTATGGTCAAGGTAAAGTAAGGAACGAGGAGAACAAGACGGGAAATGGCTCTTTCTGTACTCCAGCCTCTGATACAGGACAGGATATGTCTCTCTCTCTCTACCTTGGCCTTTACTACAGGACAGGATATGTCTCTCTCTCTCTACCTTGGCCTTTACTACAGGACAGGAAATGTCTCTCTGTCTACTTTTGCCTCTAATACAGGACAGGAATTTTTTCTCTCTCTATTTTAGCCTCTAATACAGGACAGGAAATGTCTGTCTACTTTAGCCTCTAATACAGGACAGGAAATTTTTCTCTCTCTACTTTAGCCACTAATACAGGACAGGACATGTCTCTCTCTCTGCTGTGGCCTGTAATACAGGACAGGAAATGGCTCTCTCTTCACAGCAGCCTTTAGCACAGCAGAGGAAATAGCCTTCTCTGTACTCCGGCCTCTAATACAGGACAGGAAATAGCTCTCTCACCATCCTGGCCTCTGGTACAGAACAGGAAACTCCAGCAATCTTACACTGCAACGATGGCCGGACAGGAACATAGTCTGTGTGCATTTGTGCTTACGGAACATGCTGTACCGAGGGCATGCTGTATTCCGTGTGGTATGTAAAGCCCGATTTAGAATTCAGGAGGGAGTCAGGCGCAGGACACGATGTCAGCATCATGCAGCCGTTAACTCAAAGCCACACAACATGCTCTCTTACACAGTTCTGGGGTGTTGAGCCATGCACGGGAGTTTGGGGACGTCGGTGAGAGTGTAATGGAGTGCAGGCTCTCCACGTTCACTCACCTTAATCACCCATGATGTCATAACACATCAGTTTTTTTCAGTAATGATCGAGGTGGGCAATTAATTATCCAGTTGCTGTCCTGGGGAGTGACTGGATGACCTTGTTTATTTTCATATTTCCTGAATTATAAGTTATGTATTAATATCTTGCTGTAGAACCACCTTCATTTCTACTTGTCAGGGTTTGCAATGTCCTTTTTTACATTTTATTTATTGATTTATTTTTTAAATACTCTTACTATATTTGTATGTGTGAAGTTCTGGGTGTCTAATGTAGTATTTTAAATACTTTGACTTTTTGTCTCTAACCACCATGCCACCTGCTGGCCTAATTTGTTACTACTGAGAATTGAATTAACTGCAATGTATATCATCTGTCTATCTCTTTGTGAGAGAACATGAGAAACAGGTATAGCAATGTGTGGAAGCAGCAGCTGAAGGAGCGGGGAGTCAGGACACAGGTAATGGGGAAGTTATTGAATTTCATTTTTCGTGGTTTGAGGCCTGCTAAGCCCTCCTGTCCCCAGTGAGGTATTATGCTGTAATTATCCAGCTTGGGGGGGCCTCTGCGGCTTTGTCAGGTGACACAGCAAACCCCCGCCTGCCCGTGGTCTCGGCCTGCGTCATCGTCGGCTGCCTAATTAACACGTAAACAGGTCACACTCACGAGCAGCCCCTACGTTTGCCGGCCTCAGTTACAGCATAGCAACAGCCCGAAAGCTGTGTTCCCGTTAATCCCTGCAGGGATTTCCCTAACCCTGACTATTTATGCGTGTGTGCCTGTTACCCATGAACTCCTGAGTTATAAACTGACTGGTCATCCTTCTGTTAGGCTTTGAGTGCTACTTTATTAAATTTAAGGCAGTAAAATCGATATTTCCTTGTTTCCTCTGGCCAGAAGCAGTGCAGTATTAGTAACAGCTGCCACCCCCCCCCCCCCACACACACACACACACACACCTGGCATCACTTGTCATCATGAAGGAAGGTTCTGTTCCACTTCAGCTCATGTGTTTATCTGTGGTCCGGAAGGTCACCTAATTTCACCATGTCACACACTGTCCCAGACTGTCCCCCAGACTGGCAGGCACGCCGTGGTGACACCTCCAGGTGGGACATGTCATCGCATCACCCGCATCAGCCTGTCAAAGGTCAGAGTGTGAAAGGTCACATTCCAGCAGGACGTCCACGGCTACGTCAGCCGTGCTGCCGGTCGGTTTGTAACAAAACGCCGTTTTGGTGTGTTTGCAGATCGTCCTGCAGATTCAATTTCTGGAGTCTGTGGGAAGGAGATTCACAGAACAAAACAATAATTATTACAAAGAATTATTTAAAATTATAATACTACTGCTATTATTATTATTAGTAGTAGTATTAGTAGCAGTAGTAGTAGTATTAGTAGCAGTAGTAGTATTAGTAGCAGTAGTAGTATTAGTAGCAGTAGTAGTAGTATTAGTAGCAGTAGTAGTATTAGTAGCAGTAGTAGTAGCAGCTGGTTAAAAATTGTGGCTCATGTTAGAATTGCTCACATAAAGAATGTAAACTGGATTACTTCTCTTAGAGTAATTTCTTAAAGTAAATTACTATATGTGGGGGAGTGAAGATGAAAGGGACTGGAAGTTGTGTTTCGCAGAGGTGAAAGCAGCCTTCATTTAGGTGGGATCAGAGAACCGCCCGGCAGCCCCAGATGCAGCCAGAAGGCACCATTGCCATTAAAACTTTGGCCAGGGCAGGACCTCCCTCCCCAGGCCGAGCAGGGCTGCCAGGTTATTTCTACCTCATTGTGGTTTTATCTGCGGTGGGGGTCTGAAACAGGGATGAATTATGGAGGATTTCCCTCAGCTGGCACTGAGGGAGCGAGGCCGAGGTTTGAAGGCCGACGTTACTTGAGAAGGTTTGACACCCTGATTGTTTCGTCTCTGCCTGGTTCCGGGGCAGCGCTGGGTTTGGGCAGGGGGGCCGGCATCTGAAAGTAAAGTTGGACCTTAAACATTGCTGGCAGTAAGTCTTGAAAGCCCTTCTCTCGTCAGGTCTTGTCGGGTCATTCTTGACAAGCGTGTCAAGCCCAACGTGACCGATGGTGCATTTGCACACACACCCTCCTCGCAGGTAGCTGCATGCTCATATAGTGCCCCCTCCGCCCCCCCAACCCCAGTCTCCTAGCACTCTGTAACCGTTGGCTGGCATGGAAGGACCCTTTGCAAGAAATTGCTTCAGTCAGAGGGAGAAGAACCCATTTACAATATGTGCTTTAGAACATCTCAGACAATGCATCCCAGATTAGAGGCAGTTTTGATTAATCTTTCATAAACATTTTCTAGTGCCTTGGCTCCAAGTCCTAGCAGATGTATGCAGAGTGCCTGTTCGGGTGTCATCTCGGAGAGTGGCAGAGGGTCCTCACCGCGAAAATGACACCGAATCAGCCGAGTGGCACATTAAAATTTATCGGCGAGTCGCACCGCTGCCACGATAGCTCCGCGAAGCTTCCCTTTGAAATGTGCGTCACTTGTCCTACGCTGTTTTTCTCCGAGACAGGAAGTCTCTTTTCTGTCCTCATCAATTCTTCACTGCAATTTGACGTGTGTTTAATTCTTCCGCATTAGTTTTCCTGCATGGGTTCCGGCGGCATCCTCCTGTCTTTCCGCGAGCGTATAAAATTAATGCAATCAGTAAAGTATATATAGCCTATATGTGTGTGTGTGAGAATATGTCAGAGGAAGCTGGCGTGGCGTTGTCGTACATCATTCCATATGAAAAGCGGTTTTATCCCTACTTTATGTGTTTGGAGGTGTAAGTGGCGTGGTGGCCGAGCTTCGCCGGCGGCTGTCGTGTAATAGGCAGGCCGATATCGGTCCCGAGTCGGGGAAACACAATGAGCTACGCGGAGACAGCCAGAATGTGATTCTGCGATCGCAGTTAAGTACTCGATATAGCACACGATACGGCTGTTTTGATCCATTTTTAAGTCGTGTCACTTGTTTTCATACTCGGCGGCAGGGACGGACCCCTCGCAGGGAGATTTAAAACGCGTTTTCCTTACGCTGTGTACGTGTTCAAACTTTTATAAAGCCGCTCGTTGCTACAATGTGGTTCTCGTGCCATTTGCGGTGCAGCTTTTGTTATAAAATAAGGAACAAACATTTCACGCACAATCACGTACGAATTGTAATATTATAAATCAATAGTTAAATTTCTGCGCGCTATGAATAGACGCGCGAGACCAGAAGACTGGTTTAATGAAGGGAGAAATTCTCATTTAATCACACGTACCCCAGTTTCCCAGATTTTATAAAACTGTTCATTTGTTATTCCATTTCATATACTCAAATATATTCTATTGTCCATTTTTTAAGAAAAAAAGGATTCAGACGGGGAGTTAATGCAAATGACGCATAAAAAATTAAAGGTTGATCTTGTTCTGTTTCAGTTCAAGGTACGCATCACTCTTTACAACCGCGGCTGTCACAGCGAATCAGCCAGAGCGCCTGTTTACCGCTGACTGTTTACATAATATGGGACTGTAAATGAGACCTGGTCCCAGCGGAGTCCCTTGTATAAATATAAATAATAAATAAATATTAGATAAATAATTCTTCCTGCTGAATTATTTACTCGACTCAGAATTCACTTATGCAAAGGCTGTTAACTAGTTTTGAGGATAACTGCGCTGTGTAGGTATGCACGTCATGTCAAGGGAGTTGATACATGATGGGCTGGGCGTGCTGGGAGACCAGGGCAGGGCAGCGGGAGACTTGGCTGGGGATTGGTCAAAGGTTTCGGGTGGTGGGTGGCAGTGATACTGGGTAGTTGGCTGCCAGGACTGCGATCCAAATTTCAGACAACAGGGACTGGCTGATTGCTGGGGAGGGGGGGGGGGGGGAAAGGGGGGGGGTGGGGGGGGGGGGGGGGGGGGGGAACAAGAAGGTGAGTTGGGGGGGGGAGGCGTTGTGTTAGCCTAGATGAAAGATAGCATGTCCTGCCCACCAGGGGGCAAGAGGGTGTGGAGGAGAGAAGTGAAGATGTGCCAGTGTTCTGCCCTAAGTTCATTGTCATGCCGGGGGGGCTTTCAGAAGAACCACACATTCAGCCAGCAGAGGGAGAAGTAGTTAAGGATCTGAACCGGCATCCTTTAGGTTTCTACCTGCTTTTTTCTATAGAAGATATAAGAAGGAGTTGGTCCAGTGCGAAGCTGATCTTAATGTGGCTTAAAGCATCAGCTGAGGAAATTAAATAATAATGTGCAGAACAGGGCCAGATTTCCCAGCCATTGTGACACACTTTTTTTTTATGTCCCATAGCCAGGCGGCATGAAGTCACAGGTGATGCAAGCAGAGCCCCCCCCCCTTCGCCAGAGTCAGAGGGAGAGCAGCTGGTCCAGGTGCCGCCGAGACTGATGGTTCCAGGACCGGGATTAGTGTGACGGACACTGTTTAAAAGTGAAAAATACATGAATATGTGAAAGGCCAGCCTGGCGAGGTACATTATGCTGTTTGAAAGGCGGCTCTGTTCCAGCTCTAAGCACCACGTTTCCCTTTTATAATCTATCCTAGGACACTGACATATGTCAGTGTCATCAGCCGAGCCGCTCTGATTGGCTGTGAAGCTTTCACCAGCTGTCTTCATTGGCTGTGCTCTTTACCTCCCCCGTCCTAAAATAAAACTTTGATCAAACAGAGCTCTATGCCGGCCCGGCGTCCAGGGCGTACCCCTCCCGGCGGCCCAGGCGTTTGGGGACGGGGGCTGAACGGGACGAGAGTGCAGCAGAGAACGGACGGCTGGATCGACTTGGGAGCGAGGGGCCGTGTACGTGTTTAGTAAAAAAGGGGAAAAGAGACATTTTCTAGCCAAAAGTCTGTTTAGGACTGTAGAGAAACAGAAAAAGGCACTATAGCTGCAAATGTGTGTAACGCAAAGCTGTTCCTTATTACGGTGTGTTACTGCATTCCAGAAGCCGTTCGCTGGGCTGCTTCTCAGCACCAGTCCGTCACTGTGCTTTATGACACCTGTCGGCGTCTGCCACACCAGCCCGGGCCATCGTATGGGCCACCCCGCCCCCTCCCTGTATGATCCACAGACCCTCACCTGTGGGGGGGTGCCCACGCCGTCCCTAATAATGCCATTTATAACGAAACAGGTTAATGTGTTTATGGCCCTGGGGCTTCTGACGCCATAACTGGGGAGAAAAGCCTTTTCAGAGGGGGGGGAGGCTCCATTAAGCCTGAACACAGCGTCCCATTAGCGGCGCAGGCAGTGCCACAGTTTGGAATATAGAGGAATGATGGAAGACAGGGAGGCCTGTAACTGCTCTTTATCGCCTGGGAAACAGCGCCGTTAGTAACGTTTTAAAATGCTTCAGGGTGATGGCGTGACAAGTGAGATCGCCACACTTCTCGGGAAGGTCACAGGCTTTGGCCTGGGCGCGGGGGGGGGGGGGGGCTGTTCGCCATGCGCACTGCAAGCTGGAAACTGCAGGCCTTCCTGTGAGCCTTACGGTCAGGCGCAATACCCGCCCCAAGGCTGCGCATCTCGCACCCGATTGGGCGCTTAGCTAAAGGGAGCGTTCAGATTGGCCCGAATGAATATGGGGAGCAGTCGGTTTCAGGGTTAGTACCTGGCAGCTCGTGGTTGGCCCTGCGATCTGCACCCGGAGATGGGAAAGAGTGCCATCCGCTGCTTGTATGGAGGGCTTACACACGGCCGTGAAGGACCGCAGGCCCTATACGTGTCCATCCACCCACCTGCCCGCTGCTTATCCATTGCAGGAAGCCTGGAGCTTATCCCAGGCAGAGTTGGAGGCGCCGCTGTGGAGCACCCTGCATGGGACGGCACGCATCGACAGGCTCAGGCAACGGACACGTCTGATGCCCGTTCGCCCAACTGCGTGACTCCTGAGCTTGGAGAGAAGCTGGCGTTCTGGGAAGGAGCGTGCATGATATTCAGGCAGGATCTGAGCGGCCTGTTTATCGCCTGACCTTTCTCAGTGCCTGTAAACACCAGAACTGCCAGCTTATTACCAATGGGGTGGATGAAGAGGCCATTGAAGGCAGAGCTGTGGATCGTGACAGTCCTACAAAAGCAAAGCAAGGCGCCGGCATGAGCTGCACCCAGGGCTGCTCAAAGTTCATGTGGCCC